GATTGTTATGTGTCATAAGCTCACCTTGGAATCTAAGGTGGAAAGGAATTTTTGAGTTTTTTTAATTATTTTAAATTATGTAAAATAAAGATTAACTTTTTCTCATTATTTTATATACCTCATTTACATACTTATAATTTAAAATTAAAAAATTTTATTTCTAAAAAAAAAATTACTATCAAACTATTCATACAGTTACAAAAGTTTTTGGCTTTTGGCCTAACAATTTTTTGAGAAGTGCATTCCTAAAAACTTTGCACAACCATATCCCCAAAAGTGTTTTTAAGGCGTGGGTTTCATAGTGGTTATTCAGAGAAATAGGCAACACCAAACAGGCCTTTATTTCTTCAATTTTCTATTATTTTTTGTAATCCTTTGTCTTTCTTTTCATTTTCTCATCCATTCTTTGTCCTCAGTCTTCGCCTCCATTCTCTCTCACCATGACTCCTCTGAAAACGTTTCTTGCACTCTTAATCACCACCGGAGTGCTCCTCAATAACAATCTCCTCCTTCCGGTGCGTTCTGTTACTTCCCCTCATGACAAAGACCATCTTTCCTTCTTTGACACCGTAACAAATTCAATTAATTCAAAGCCATCTCCTGAGCTAGCCGGAAACAACCGGTCCTCCACACGTTCTCGAGTTACTTTGGGATGTGAGGTGTGGGAGGCGGCATGCTCGGAGGCGGTGCTGCGCCTGGCTAAGACGCCAGAAAACGTAGAGTGGATTAAGGGGTTAAGGAGAAAGATTCATGAGAACCCGGAGCTGGCTTTTGAAGAGTTTGAGACAAGTAAGCTGGTTCGTGCCGAGTTGGATCGGATGGAGATTGAATACAGGTACCCGTTGGCAAAAACGGGTATTCGGGCTTGGGTTGGGACTGGCGGTCCGCCCTTTGTTGCCATCAGAGCTGATATGGATGCTCTTCCCATACAGGTATATATGTATATTTTGCAAAATGATTTATTGCTAATAAAATCTTACACTATGACATGATGTGAGTTTATTTAACTTTTTTAATTCAATTAAACGTGATATTTTATATATTTATTTATTTAATATCACGTAGACATTGTAAGATTACTAGTAAGACTTTCTTTGTCAAAAAAAAAAAAAATAAAACCACTATATTTTTCTCTTTTATTTTTACTAGAAAAAAGAAAAAAAACACATATTTGTGTTGAGGATGTTTATTTACTTAGATATCTGTTATGATTTTGAATAACCTTTTCCACAGAGGAAAAAGTAGTAGGAGGGGGAGGTTTCCAAAGGAGCGGTTGAAAATTGCAAATGCCCCATGTCATGTCTTTGGAAAAATGGAAATTGGAATCATCCAATATTAGACCTTGGAAGTCGAAGTTTTTTCTTTTTCTTTTTCCCCCTTTATTTGTTTTCTTTCTTTTAACTTTAAGAAAATTTTCTTACTTTTTACCTTATAATTATTTGAATTATTTGAAGATCCTAGTATTAGATACGAAAAATATTAAATTAAACATTTAAGGTTTTTACGTCATATCTTATTTATCTTATATTATATATGTTACATGTAACAGTTAAGTACAATAAATCATAAAAAGTTGAGTTCCTAAATCAAAGTGGTCCAAACATTACGGTAAAAGATATAAAGTTTGTTTTTCTCCTTTTGAAAAGGGGACAGTGATAAATTAACTTTTACTTTTAAGTTTGCATATTAGCGAGTAATGTTGGTATAATTTATTTCAGGAAGCTGTAGAATGGGAACACAAAAGCAAAGTAGCTGGGAAGATGCATGCTTGTGGGCATGATGCTCATGTGGCTATGCTTGTAGGTGCAGCAAAAATATTGAAGGCTCGAGAGCACCTTCTGAAGGTTTGCTTTCTACTCACTCTTTAGCCCTAAGTAAAATGCAAAGATTTGACTTCATAATTGAGGTTTTGAAGTTAACTCAGGAGAGTGCTTCTTGGGTCTAATCACACAATTAATCCTTAATCAAACAAGGTTTAAATGCAAATTAGAAAAATGATAGCAGCATTGCACTGTTTCAGGGTAATTGAATAGTACTGATTTGTGTGGACACAAATGGTTCCCTAAAGGTTTGGATATAAATAGGGCTCGACGGCTTTCAATTCTTCCTTCTGTGGAAGAAATTCAGCCACATCCCGTACCCTGTACTTGGGTTACTTTTGTTTCTTCACAAGTTTTTTGCTTTTGGTCATGTCTTCTATTCAAAGCTGCATGCTTTATTATGATGGGTGTCTACTATTTGGCAAAAATTTTGATATCCATATAGAAAATGGGATAAAAGTTCGTACTTCTATTGCTTTTAATCCACATATCCCCAAAGAAAGGGGACAGACAGTGTTCTTGCCAAAAGCAAACTAGGGAATGAAATTTCAAGAATTTTGAGTCTAGATCTACCACGAAATTGTTGAATTTGATTGGACAAATTTGAGATGTTTGTGGGTAAAAATCATGATTTCTTTGAGAATATTTCATTTTTTTTTTCTTTCAGTGAGACATGAGGATGTAGACCCCAGGAATTTAAACCCATTTTCCTAGCACATGGCAGATGTTCTTGCTTTCCTTCTCCTTTTTGTCCCTTCATTTTTGTACAATCCAAAACTAAAGATTTGAACCAGTTCTTAAGATCCCCACAGTCACTACCACTCTAGCTGCTGACGAGCGCTTGAGCTTGACTTCATAGTATTCGAGCGTGTTGACACTTGACATCCTAACCATCCTCTAATGATATGGACCACATCAAATTTGCAGGATGGGTTTTAATAATATTACAATTTGATCAAGTTTTTTGGTCCCCCACTCCCCTCTTTTCTTTCTCGAAATTTATTTGGCTTAATTAACTAGTAAAATTAAATAAAACGTGGATAGAGCATAGAATATATTCTTGTTCCAAGTGATACAATATGTTGAGCGTAGGATAACGTGTCTTATACATCTAATTTGTGCTTGTTTTGTCTCTCTTCTGGACAACCTGCCATTTGTGGATGAATATAGGATTCTTTTCTTTCACAAAGGTCTTCCCAAACTTGTCATTAAATGGTGCATACAGTTCTATATATTATGCTAAAATAAACATAGTTAATTTTTTATATAACGGGTAATTTAAAAATAAAAAATAAAAGTTGTGAATAAGTTAAATCATTTTCAACAGAACTAATTTGATAAACCATAATCAAATGGGAAGAATTAAATTAGTATTATTGAAATTATTTAGTTTTGTCTTTGGATTGACCTAAGCACGTTATTAAATTTAATTCAACTCAATCAAGATTTTTAGTTTTTTGCCAAATTAATTGGTTATATATATATATATATATATATATGGGATTAATTACTTAACTGCACAGGTACCATCTTCGTTAAGTTCATGAAGGTCAAATTAATGGTTTGTTATGACAGGGAACTGTGATCCTGATATTCCAGCCAGCAGAGGAAGCAGGAAATGGTGCGAAAAGGATGATTGGAGATGGGGCCCTGGAGAATGTGGAGGCCATTTTTGCAGTCCATGTATCCCATGAGCATCCTACCGCAATCATTGGCTCAAGGCCTGGTCCCCTACTTGCTGGCTGCGGCTTTTTCAGAGCCGTCATCAGTGGAAAACAGGGTCGTGCCGAGAACCCTCACCACTCTGTAGACCCCATTTTGGCTGCTTCTGCCGCTGTTATTAGCTTACAGGGAATCGTATCCCGAGAGGCAAATCCTCTCGACTCACAGGTCTGTCAACCCAGTTTTGTTAATCACCATCCACTTCGGACAGAACAGAACTCAAATCTTTCTTGCGTTTCTGAATGTGTCAGGTTGTATCTGTGACATCATTCAATGGAGGAGATAATCTTGACATCATACCTGATGCAGTGGTCATTGGAGGTACCTTCAGGGCTTTCTCCAACTCAAGCTTCTACCAACTCCTCCGAAGGATTGAAGAGGTTTATGTTCCATTCTCCCCTGTCTCGTTGCTGTGGGATCATCATTGTTCCCCTGATTAATTCTTTCAGTTTTCTGCGTTTCCTCAATCAGGTGATTGTGGAGCAGGCTAGTGTTTTCAGATGCTCTGCGACAGTCGACTTCTTCGAAAAGGAGTCCACAATCTACCCACCAACAGTCAATGATGATGCCATGTACGAGCATGTGAAGAAGGTGGCAACTGAGTTGTTGGGTCGTCCAAGTTTCAGGGTGGTTCCGCCAATGATGGGTGCTGAGGACTTCTCCTTTTACACACAAGTGGTTCCTGCAGCCTTTTTCTACATTGGCGTAAGGAATGAGACACTGGGATCGAATGTCACGGGCCACTCCCCCTATTTCATGATTGATGAGGACGTTCTCCCTGTCGGTGCTGCAGTTCATGCAGTTATTGCAGAAAGATACCTCATTGAGCATTCGTGAGCTGAGGGCTTGTCTCTTGGTTTATCCTGTAAAAACCAGGTATAGGGAGATTCAAATCTCACTCATGCTAGCTTAATTTTGGTGTTCTTAAAATGCATATAGAGGAATGTCAAGGATCCTCTGCTAACGCTGTTCTATTTCCTAGTAGAAAGATCTCTCTCTAAAGGTATCAAATTTGCATAAACCAGAATCCAGAATCCAAAAACCAATTTCTTTTTAAGGTAAACACTAAACAATGTAAGCGACGTTTCTCAGTGCGCAGTTCAATATTTGAGAAGATGACAATGCTGCAGCAGACAAACAACGCACTCTAAAATTTTGCTCAATCCTAATGGAGTAAACTAATGGAAAACAAGAAAAACTCTCTTGGCCGTCTGACAATCAATGAGGTCAGTCAACTTCCCAGACCAATCTCAATTCTTCTCACCCCATAATCGTCTAGCAGCTGCCAGAGCAAAATATGTTAAGATGATGCCAGCACCAGCCCGTCGGAGGCATATCAAAGATTCTATCATAACTTTTTCTTCATCAATCATTTTGAGAAGCCCACCAGCCTTGATTATTGAGTATTCCCCAGAAACCTAGATGGCATAGGTTTATAAGGAAAATGTAAACAAAACAGGAAAAGGGCAGGGACAGTAAGTTCATATTATAAAAAGAGGAAGCTGTTCATGTTTCGCATTTGGCTCTGGCACGCTGAATCATTCTTGTGATTTTTCAATATTTTGTTTCCAACAATTTTCAGTTCTAAGTAAGATGGTAATGCAAAGTACAGTGGATAATGAAAATCACCTGATATGCAGCAATTGGCAAATGAAACTTGTCCTTGAGAAGTTTAATGACATCCAACTAAGGAAGACCAGGTTTCACCTGTGACCATTCAAGTTGCTTTAGCATAACGAAGGATCTGAATTTTCATAAAATAGTGCTCACTGTTCCTAGAAAAGGAGAAATTCTGGCCAGAAGGATATCAGCTCCTTCAGCCTCATCTTCACGAGCCTCAATTAAAGCCTCCCTGTAATTTGCTGGGTTCATCTGATACCTTTTGTTTACCAAGCCAGGTGAATAATAGGAAATGAGCACCAAAATCTTCATTTAGCAATGGAGAATAACAAATATATAGTTTAAGAATTCCTACATTCTTTTGTCTCCAAAACAGGGGCTGGAGTTGATTGCTTCATGAAATGGACCATAGAATGAGTTTGCATGCCTGTTTTGCAAAATTTAGAAAAAAAAAAAAGATATGGAGAAAATAATCAATGATAGAATGCACCTGGATGAGAAGAAAACAGAGAATCATTTCTAGAAACACAATCTAAATTTCTAAATATTTGCAACCTATTAATTGAGACAACTTACTACTCACATGATCATGTCATTGTATGTATATGATAATTTACCATATATTGGAAGTTAGACAATCCCCACCTAAAGGGCATTGTTTGATTTGCTATTATGGTATTTGGAAGAAAAATACCGAGAACCAATTCACCATGCATCAAAGCAACAACTACCATATCTGCAGCTGTACATGTTTACCCTACAAAAGATAAATTTAATGCTGCAAAAAACCCATGACAGCGTAGGAATTTATTGCCAGAAAATATGAAATTTTATAACTACTTTATTTTGTTGTATAGGACATGATAGAAACATGTTGAAAGCCCTCAGCATCAAGGGCAGAACGAATTGCACCTACACGCCCATCCATCATGTCACTTGGACTAATAACATCAGCACCAGCTCGGGCCTTAAAGAAAGAACACCACCAAAAGCAAAAATAGGTAATCAGGTCATAAAATTATGGAGTTGGAGTGAGTGCAAGGGGGAAAAACAGAAGGAGAATAAAGGACTTTCCATTAAGTAAGCTATTAGCCACCTCAACCAAGAGTTTGAAGCATAATGATTTAATAGCCACAATGACTCAGTAATTGCAAAAATCAGCTCTTGTAAAATATTTAAAACTTCATTTACCAAAGCACTAAAATTTAATAAATAATTGAAGCATTTAAAACACTTCTGATGTGAAGGGGGATGCAAGAATCAAAAGGCAGAATAGAGGGTACTCAAAAAATTTTGCAAGAGACACCTCGGCAAAGGGTTACAGTTTTGGTACTCTAATGGAGATATTAAATATTCAGAAAAGTACGAACTGCATTTCACTTTAACTATTGATGGAGGGGATGGGTTGAGAATCCACCCCTCCATCAATAATTAAAAGTAGTGTAGCCCTTACAGAACGGACTGCACTAAGCATTCTCTTGAATATTTGCCAAAAGCAATAAGTGCTAACTGCAAAAAACCTCGAAAAGCTACCTGAGAAACAGCTTGCTTGCATAATTGATATACCATCTCATCATTAATTATGACTATTACAAGATAACAATGATAAACAAAATTAGAAATTCTAGACAAATTTTCATGTATAAATATTTATAACATCATATTGATGCAAATTTATTCCCGTTCATGGAAAAAAAAAATAAATAAATAACCGCATTTGAACCTCACGACCCAATAGCACTGTCTCGTTGAAAATGCATCCTTAGTCCTTAAGCTGTCCCACCCCAGTATAATCCATTCAAATAAATAAATAAATAACCAACCAACATTTAAAGCATCCATTTTTTATATAAAGGAAAATAACTTTCCAAACTTCACAAAGTATGTAATATGGCAACTCAGAAAGGAGAAGTACAGATAAGATGAGCCTAACTCTCCAAGTAATATTACATTTTCAGCAGAATCTTAGACTAATTTTGATGTTGCAATTATCAAAGTGTGTTTCTCTTTAAGATGACAGGCTTCTTTAAGATGCTATGATGCATTTCTTGAAAATATAATAGAAAGATAAAGGGGATATGAGTCATATGACATCTCTTTCTTACCATCCTCCCTGACAATACCATCATGCCCACCTGAGGAGTATGGATCTAAAGCAACATCCGTGTAGATCACCTGATAATTGAATGAGAGACCACAGCATTTCAAAACAAAATGCAAACCAATCTGGAAACCCTATTGAAAGACACACAGAAAGGCAGGGAAACCAATTCTACTTACAAGATCAGGGTATTTATCCTTAAGCAGCCGAATTGCTCGAGGGACTAAACCATTGTCATCGTAGGCTTCATCTCCTGTGGGAGACTAAGATGCAAAAACCAATTACATTACATCACCATAGTCTACAAAATAGAAAACCTAGGAGGAGAATTACAACCTTCAAGGCATCCGGAACCTTGGGAAAGAGCATAATGTTATTAACTCCAACATCCCGAGCTTTTCTAACCTGCACTAACAGATGCTTACCCTTATAAATACACAATTCACTAGTAAAGCATACATAAAATGCACTCAAAAGCAGAGTCTCAGATGGGTTATGCTTATAAGTTCAATGACAATGGCAAGTACTTTAATATTGACCAAATTCATAATAAAGATGAGTGCTTCAGTAGAGAGAGAGAGAGAGAGAGAGAGAAAGAATCAGATTGAACTCAATCACCTCCTCAACAAGCCCGTGTCTCCACCCAAGCCTATAACATCCTGGCATAGCTCCAATGGGTGTGTCCTCTTCCCCTGCAAGGTTGTGAAAATGTAAAAAATCAATTGGAAGAGACACACACTCATACAGGAAAGAAAGAGCAAGGTGTAATAACTTGGAATTTGGCACAAAAGATAACAGAAAACTGACCTTCATGAATAAAAAGTGGATATATAAAATTTGCAGGAGATAGATTTGCTTCTTGGAAAGATTTTCTTAAAGCAGTGGACTTGCGATTGCGACGAGGGCGCCGGTTAAGTTGCTAAACAAAAAAAACACCAAATGAGTGTGTGAGGGAAGAGCATTCGCCCAGAACAACACACTCACACTTATATTTTGGATCAAAGCCCTTGTGAAGTGAGAAGAAATTGATTTCATAAAGTTCAAAACCGAAACAAACACAAGCACCATAAATGATAAATGTGGCATATCACACAATGGAATCACAAAACTTGTAGAACCCTTTCAACTGCAAGGTCATAAACTCGAGAATTTTTTCCATTTTTGCTCCATTGAAGGCCTCGTTCTCTGTTCCTTTTGAAAGATTTTCTAAATCAAGCAAAGGAAAGTTCACACCTAAAATTGGAAGGCAATTTCAAAGCCAGTCCGTTGAAACCCAATCCGAAAGTCCAATTTTGGTAAACTCACGGGTTCTTCCGATTTCAAACGATTTTACGAGTTCACCAGAAGTTCATGAAAGCACGATTTTATACACGAGTTAACTCGTTTTCCACACTTAAGAACACGTAAAATCGTACGACTTTAGGAGAAAACTCGCGATTTTAATAACAGTGCTTTCCAGCTTATTAGTGTTAATTATTAAAAGTAGGCAACAAGCAATTACATTAGCTTTTTAATTCAGACACACACAAGAGGTTGGATGCCAGGAGTTCCAGTAGGAACAGCAGGGGTAGGCGGCACAGGAGGTGCTTCATGTACATTCCCAGAAACAACAGCAGCCTCGCATTGTGCAACGCTCATTCCCATCTTCTTCACATGCCCATCACGACTTTCGCTTGCCCTCACCACAAAAGGCCGCCGCCGGAGCCCCTCGCCGGCATTGAACCTCAAAGTGGAGGTAGATCTAACACCAACATGGTTCTGGATATCAAACCCTTTAATGGAAGGAACGGTATAATGAGAATTGACCATCATTGAAACCATTGATTCTGTCTGGTAATCTTAATTCTGCAACGTCCGAATCAACCTCATGAAAAATATAATCAAAGAAAAAGCATGAAAATTGATTATCTAGCCAAATTCACGGGATGAAATTGGGAGGAGGAAAATCTCACCTTTTCTCAAAGTGTTTACAGAGAGCTAAAGAAGACAAGGAAAGGTGGCGAAGGTCCGATGTATGTCTATGTCTGTGTCTGAGGACGCTGGCGGCATACCGAAACCGACCTTTCTCTTCTACTGTGAGCACGTTTGAGTTAGTTTGTAAAAATTTTATAAAGTGATTAATTTAAATTTTTATTTAAAAAAATTTTAAAAGTTATTTTTAAAAAAATAAATAAATAAAAATAAATAAATTTATAAAAAATAAAAAATTAAAATTTTTAGGTTTTAAATTTTTTTAAACTTTAACAAATTAAAAAATATAAAATTTTAAGATAAAAGTTTATATTTATAAAATATAAATAATTTTAAAAAACTGAAGTTCTTACAATTTAACCGAAAGATGTCCTGGATAAATACTGGTTCAGGTACTCGCTTTATCGGTCTAAGGATCTTGGGCTTTTCTTTTGGTTGTCGGATTCCGGACATGTACAAAATTTGGGCTTTGTCTTGATGCTCTTGGACTTGGCCATAGGTTTAGGATTCTGACATTTTTAATTCTTGGGTCTGTTTGGTAACCCATTTCTTGGAAATTGGATTCTATTAGCCTAAACTAGCTCTTACCATCCAACCGGCAACAAGATTAGCCATATTTGTTCCGAAGTTTATGGGAGAAAACAGTACACGTACCGTGAGATAAAGTCATATTAATAAAAGCTTGAATAATGAA